CCTACTGGTTGACCTGACCTGACCTGACCCGACCTGGTCTAAATGCTTCAAGACATCATCTGTGATCAAAACTAACACGATATTCGTGATCAGCACCCCGAAAAAAACCCTTAGCAGCCACACTTTACGACTTTCTAACAGGTCCCGATTTTCCCGACTTTGGGTCATTGACCTGACCTGGAAGGTCAACCAATGACCTATGACCTTAAAATTGGGTATCATCGGCTTCCTCTCGTCACGGGCAACACGCTCGTTTTTTTTCCGCGAAGCTCTAGCTCGATCAGGGGCCAAACGGCAAGGGGGGGTCCAACCGACCCCCCCCCCCCTACACATTAGAAGCTGGCAAACGCCGCACGCATGCGAGGGTTAACACTCTGAATCGTTAAAAAAAAACAGATCCTTATATATAAAAAACAGGAGCTACATTGGACACAGCATTACAGTAAGTAGATATATACATTCAATAATCTTGTTGAACAGCTCGATCTAAAGCTGACATACATAATGTTATTGCAGGAAGCATGAGCATGTGAATGGTGTCGTACTTACATGTGAAGTACCTATTGCTCACCAAGTTTATCATTTATCTGCAAAATGCTGATATCACATTTCCATCTCTATTTGAAAGGGATTTCAAGTTATCTGCATTAACCCTCGCATGTGTAGGGGGGGTCGGATGGACCCCCCCCCCCCTACGGTTTTTCGCGAATAACTCGCGTAAAAAGCGGCCGAGCGCGACGAAACTTTCAGTACCCTCACATTGATCAATTTTACACCTACCCTGAAAATTTCATGACCCTTACCCAAATGACCTTTGACCTGTGACCTCTTTTCCGAGACCATGTTTGGCCGGAATCGCGATTCTGCGTATGTCGGCTCGCATTAGCCGCGCGTTTGCAAGCTTTTCGTGGTTTCAAACGTTCAAACATGTGATTTGATGTTGCTTCCATGCATTGGGGTGGGTGTGAAGGTCACCTGAAGGTCAGGTCAGGTCATTGACCTTTGGTGACCTCGGGTGACCTCGGTTCACTTTTTCGAGTTGTACATGTTTCTAGGCTAGTTTTTGGAGCTGAATTCGAATTTAGCAACCATTTGAACATTTACGAAGTAGTTTTGGTGCCTTCGTAACATGTTACGAAGCTGTCAGAGGCGGTTGACGTGTACTACGAATACCCGTCACGATGCCTACTGGTTGACCTGACCTGACCTGACCCGACCTGGTCTAAATGCTTAAAGACATCATCTGTGATCAAAACTAACACGATATTCGTGATCAGCACCCCGAAAAACCCCTTGGCGGCCACACTTTACGACTTTCTAACAGGTCCCGATTTTCCCGACTTTGGGTCATTGACCTGACCTGGAAGGTCACCCAATGACCTAGGACCTTAAAATTGGGTATCATCGGCTTCCTCTCGTGACGGGCAACACGCTCGTTTTTTCCGCGAAGCTCTAGCTCGATCAGGGGCCAAACGGCAAGGGGGGTCCAACCGACCCCCCCCCCCTACACATTAGAAGCTGGCAAACGCCGCACACATGCGAGGTTTAAATATCTGAAAGATATTTGCGGAGCCTATGGCGAACATATAAAACAAATGGAGTATATGCCAGCATGACATGCCACGTAATGTATTTTTGTTATGGTCTATATGGCAGGCATTAATGGAGGATAAAAGTTCGCCCTTCTATTAACGGAAAACCAGGGATACCCTGTTGCCTAGAACCAGTGCCTCGCAGCTAAATATAATAGAAGAGTTCCAAGCCAAGCGAAGGCACCCAGGAATATTTGCGACGCTTTCAGGACTGACACTGCATCAGGCTGGCGTAGTGTAGCACGTCCGATCTGCCGTGAGACCAATTTACTGCCCCGGTTATGAGCCTAGCTGGCATAAATCGAAGGCCCACCTAACCTTGACTTTTCCGCCGACGACTCGAGCTGATTGTCACCCCGGAATAGCGTCGGGTCGCGTCGAGCCCTCTGCAGACGAGGCACCCGGCAACTTGGCTGCTGTTGATCAGATCACAAGTCTGAGATTGCCGGCGCCGACCTCGGGGTGGCTCTTAATTGTCACCGATACAGGAGATCAGAGGCGCGCCTGGGCCGCACTGCCGTGCCTCCACGACCCGAGGCGCCTCATTATGCAGGAAGTTGGGGCCAAAACTCCGTCTGTTGGCAGTTGGTGTCCTTATTCGTGCTTCTCACCACTTTTGGACTCTCGACCGCCTGAATGTCGGTCTCAGCCTTCGAGCTCCGTGCGAAAACAAAGTCACCTACTCCAAGTTTTTCTTCGGGGAGGCATATTTGGCATTCGATACTTTCAACGACTCTCGACGGAGTTTCGGAGGTGCTCTCTATTCGGCCGGCGGCTGCTCCGAGCTGTAATTGGCGCCGTTCGCGGCGGTCAGCTCCGGTGAAGCGGCCGATGCCTGCCTCCCACCGCAGATAGAGCCAGGCCGGCGAGGGAGGCTCGCTGGCCGAAATGGGCCGAGTTGGGTAACTCATCTCACAGGCCTGCTGGGTCAATCGATCCGTGCTGTCGAGAGCGACGTCCGACGGGGCTGCGAGAAGGGCCGGCGGCACTGGCCATCGCGGAGACGCGGCTAAAGTGGCGCTAATCACTGCACCATTAGTCGCAGTGCATAACTCACACCGGAGACAGCACCAGAGGGCACGACCGACATACATCGGCTGTCATTGATTCAATAATCAGATCGGCTGAATACCCCGGGAGAGGGCATTTATCGCACGGGTTATGATGGATGCCTGTATCTATTTTTTCGCATGTACATTTCACATTGCACAATGCACGTGCGGTGCATTTGATATGTGGTGCATGAAAAAACGCAGGTTAATTGTATTGGTGACTCATGTTCAGAAGAATAGACTGACTCATATACAATCATATGACTGTTTCCCATAATATCGCAGCTATGTTTACAAGTTATCATACTCAGAACCATATTAACCTTAACAATCGACCTGCCAAGTCACAAAGACGGAAAATCAGCCACGAAACACGACCTCAGCTTCTAATCGTCGGGAAACGATCCAATCGCATGGCGATTCCCTGGAACTATACCTACCGATCGCCGCAGCCAAATGGCGTTATCAGTCATCTGTTGTTGTCGACTGACGACGCATTACGGGTCACACATCATCAGAAACACAAAATGGCTGCCAACACCGTTCGGGCATATTACAGCGGACCTCATCATCGGTACCCCATAGACAGGTGAAAGGCTGCGTCGAACGGCCGTGACGATTGTCACAGGCACACCGGCACACAAGCACACTTATAGGGCAGCCAGAACCGCAGTGTTTTGACAGCGAGCACCGCCGATGCAGCTCGGCTTGTCAAAGCGCCGGCCCAAGCCATTATCGATGCGTGGTTTGGGTGGCCGAATAAAAACAAAGCCACAGATATGGAAAACAATGGCGTTAACGGAAAGCTGTGTGCGCTTAGCTAAAGAAGCTAACATAAAAAATGCATGGACTCAAGACGATGTAATTGTGTAACTTGAAGAAGTCATTGTCTTCGTTTATCGTTGCGTTTTGCGTAAGACTTTCCATTTCGTTGCGTTGCAAATCACAAAAAGCAATGACATTTCTAAGAAGCTCAGCTAGTTTTCAACCGTCCGCCGATTTTGCTGCGTTAGCGGAAGTACGCCTCAGCGAAAGCGGTCCGACAGCGACATGCACTCAGCCAATCGCCGGCCGCAGGAAATCAGCCAATCAGAGACGTCGGACCAGTGACGCCATCATGTGTCTGTCGGACGTCGAGTGATGGGGCCTGTTCTGGGTCTAAGTGGAGCTGCGGTGCTAAAACAGCTCTGCTAATATGACATATCGGTACTTACGTTATTACGGTATGCGGTACTTACTTAGCAGACGTTAATAGGCTTTTAACTGCGATATACCATTTAAATTTTTACACACGTAAAGCAATGCAATTTTCATTTATTTCGAAAGTTTATTGATGTAGACATTATTTAGTTAATTTCATATGAGAGAAATGCCCAAACTTTGCAGTAAAGTGCGAAACATTTCAAAATTATCGGTGGCAATGCCCTGACCTGCACAATACAACTACACTTTGCTGAGAATGAACCATCCTCTATGGGCCTGTAGTTTGGACCATTAGACCTTCAGTAGCCAGAAGGCACACTAACTGTCCAACTGTCTAGTGCAGCGGCACGGGCAAGTTTTAATCACCGCGAGTGGGAAAACTTAGAGTGTCACTTTTTGTTGTTGGTATCGGTCGAACGGCTCCTTTGCCCCGTCCTGTTTTTGTTATTTGCGCTGACGTCTGATTCGATGCAATTGGACGCGAGTGTCCGTCAGATTCATTGATCAAAGAGAAAAATGTAGCACCTAATGCCCGGTGCAGGCCTCGGATCGAGACTTGGTAGACATGCACCGCAGTTGTGACGGAAAGAGCGGTAATTCGAACATAGAAGTCATCCACTTAAAACAGACGAGGAAAACCGAGTTGTGAAAATCAGTGGCGACTGGCACTCGCTGAAGTCCATCAATAACCCGGTTTACATAGCATATTTGACGAGGCTCTAGCTCGTTAATTTGGCGATAATTTCGATGCAGTGTTCTTCAAATATTTAGAGGGGATCATTTTGTAAATTGTTAAGCACCATTGGCATCTTTTGCAACATCACGGACGGAGATATAAGTTTGCAACAAACCCTATGTAAACGCGTCTAATAGCCCCGTTTACATAGGGCTCGTTGCCAGATAGGGGAATTCCGATACCGAGACATTTATTCCACTAACGAGACATTTCAGGCACATTCCGCTAGTTCTGACGACCTAAGGCCAGATAGGTACTCCGTACTCGGTACTCGGTACTAAGTGCTCGGTACACGTTCCTCAGAACTCAGTGCTCAGAACTGAGAGAGGTACTCGATACGCGGTACTCAATACTCGGTACTCGATACTCGGTACTCGATACTCGGTACTCGATACTCGGTAGATACCCTGTACTCACCGATAACGGTCAGATAGAGGTAGTGAGCGATGGGCGGTGTTGTTCCGACTTGACACAGGTACAATCCGGCGTCTGACGGTCGTACCGAACGGATCCTCAGACTCCAGTCGTCGCTGTACTTTTGGTGCAGCGGTTTGAACCGGCGTGGGTCGGCAAACACGTGCATTCCATTGGCCAGCACCTGCAGCTCATGTGCCCAGGATACCTGCCGGCACATGTATGGACCAATTAGCTGGGTAAATACCACACATTTACCAATCGATGGCCCCACGTCACCTGCCCTGCCGGTTCGTAAGGAGTGTTGGTATTTTTATGAGCAACGAAGTATTCGGTCGCATTGGCAAACACCTTAAATGAAAACATTCTTAGAAATATCAGCGACGTTTTACAGTGGATACAATAACAGGTTCTGGCGGAGTTTTGTTGGTGAAACTTATTGAACAAAACCAGCAATAAAGGCTTCAATAGTTCACAAGAACCCCAGCCAACAAAGCATGGGACATTACCCATTTGGGTCAAGACATGACTTGAAGAAAAAGGCTAGACCTCAAAAGCCAATGACACAGATCCTTGACATTTTCAGCGAGCGTCGACATAAATGACAAAAAAACGTTACAAGAAAAATCAGACCTCTATCTCTGAAAATGTCACGTATTAGCACAGAAAATATGTGAAGGAGTGACAACCCTCACCTACTACAGGTGCCTGTGAGGTTATGTAATAGCCAATGGCAAACATACTTTGACGATGGCAGGCCGTCCGCGTTTCTATAGCATGTAGTGTAATCTCATACGTCTTATTTGGAAAACGCAGTCTGTCTATGTAGACCTACTCAGTACTCAAGCAACGCTCGCTTTTGTTACATAATGCTCTTCATGCTTATAATGATATTGCGTGTATATCATTTTCCTTCTCAGCGCTGAATGCCTCCTTTACAGGCTACCGAGCCTACCGCCGCCGACATTCCCAGAGTTCCGTCTCAGGAATCGGACCAAAAATGCCTTTGGATAGAGCGGTAGCAACGACCCGAACACACATTTACTTCCATCAATATTCATTGCCGAGCAAATGGAGATATAAGTGCTGAGATATGCACAGGGCATCACCGAGCTGCAACAGGCGGTGCCGCGCACAGATGCATTTTTTCCGCTGCATAACCTCTCTCTCTCCCCCTCTCTCTCTCTCTCTCTCTCTCTCTCTCTCTCTCTCTCTCTCTCTCTCTCTCTCTCTCTCTCTCTCTCTCTCTCTCTCTCTCTCTCTCTCTCTTGCTCTCTCTCTCCATCTCTCTCCCTCTCTCTTTCTGTCTCTCTCCATCTCTCTCCCTCTCTCTCTTTCTCTCTCCATCTCGCTCTCCATCTCTCTCTCTCCATCTCTCTCTCTCTCTCTCTCTCTCTCTCTCTCTCTCTCTCTCTCTCTCTCTCTCTCTCTCTCTCTCTCTCTCTCTCTCTCTCTCTCTCTCTCTCTCTCTCTCACTCTCTCTCTCTCTCTCTCTCTCTCTCTCTCTCTCTCTCTCTCTCTCTCTCTCTCTCTCTCTCTCTCTCTCTCTCTCTCTCTCTCTCTCTCTTACCCCTACCGACCCTGGATCTAAAATCGTTGAAAACTCAGTTCACCGGGGTACTGTGCCTCGAAAACAGGAATTGAATAGATCTGATGATGTTACGCAAGAAAAATAATATGTGCTGGCGAGAGTCAAAGGTCTGCCATCATCATATCTAGAGCGAAACTATTAACCGCTGAGCTAATAACTTTGATATCGCAATAGCATAGATAATTATATTTTTATTCAATGTGTGAAATGTATGTCTTTGATTCCTAGTCGGCATGGTGTAAATTCAAACGCCAGTGCTCAACGCATAGCGCCTACTTTTCATTTTACAGTAAGCTGTCAGTCGAGTAGTCGACAGGATTCAGCCACCCATCTCGCATTCCTTTGACTTCCTGCCAGATACCCGCTCCGATTTTGTATTGTGTCTCCGAATACAGCGCGTCACCGGCCATATTTAGGGCGCCATTTTATCGAGCGATGGTAGCCTCCGGAGCTCGAGACCCAACAATTTACAGGACACATCTCTTCTCGGTGGTGTAAAATACAGCTGCATCCTCTCATGCAGTGACAGTATCGCCTCGGGGCGCTTCTTTACGGCCCGGGAACCTGGTCGAGGCTCTGACTCCGGTCGCTGTGGCCGAGCCGGTCAGCGGGTTCGGTTGGTGAAGGCTGGTTCACACCACGAAACGGCCGCTGTTGCGATCTGGGCCTCGTTTCATAAAACTCTGCCGTAACTTACACCTTTCCGTAATTCACACCCTTTCAAACTACGGAGCGCAAATAAATCCGTTTCACAAAGCCACAACTGGAATTGTTTACACCTCCGTAACTAAGCACATTTGCGTAGTTACCGTAATTTATCAAGTGTCCTACAAATTACAATTTCATGTCAACACTTATTTTTTTACGAGAATTTATAAAACAATTATGTTGAATTTAAATCTTAAAAATTATTTATGAAAAAAACAAAATTGATATTGATGACCATCCTTTATTAAAACAATATATTAAAAACAGCAGAAAGCCAGCTAAGCGGAAGTGCCTAACTACGAAAGTGGCGCGGCGCGGCGAATAAACAAAATTCCGATAGTGGCCACAAAAAGCGACTGATACAGAAGATTTGCAGTTTCTTTTTCTCATTTTGGCTGTTCTTTCTTCCTCACCGGGCTCAACATTATAAAATATATTGAAAATTAGCTTCCAATCTTCACATTAATTCAAAATCACGCAACATTTTTGTGCGTAGTTTACACCACTGATATCAAGAGCTTGATAAAATATTTGGCGTTAATTACGTCGTTTTATGAAACCCAGATGGCATCAATTGGTCCGGAATCGAGCATTTGCCGTAAATGAAGCTCCGTAATTTCGATGGCGTGAATTACTCCGGTCTCCGGCTTTATGAAACCGAATTGGCATCAAATACGCCAAATCTGGCATAATTGACGGAACGCCGTAAGTAATTCCTTTTATGAAACGAGGCCCTGGTCAGAGGTGGCGACTGGTGAAGGTTGACTGGACATACCACACAAGTGAAGTCGAGTGACTGTGACTGGGAACAGAGCTGCTGAAGGCCGGTTTTCACCACACCATGTTGCCGAGGAGATAGTGACAGGGAACAGCTACTGAAGACTGGTTCATACCACACAACTGTCACCGAGGGCCCGATTTTTCCGCCGAAAAGAGACAGTCGTAGTAACCTCTACTACGGACACGAGCGCACCTACTATAGGGAGGTTCCCGATTTAGCAAAGGGGGTCCACACCTACACACCAACAGTCCATCCCTAAAACCACGCCCGAAGCGTTGTGGAACGCGGCCGATTCCTCAGGCCGTCCTGCAGACCGTCGTTTGGGGGCAGCGGCGCGTACGGCAGCAGATAGCGTCAATCGCCTCCGCAGAATAGGATGTCGCGGCGCGCAATGAACCGGAAGCGGATGTGGGCCCGGCGGTATCCGGACTCAAAGCGGATATCAGCATTACCGGCATTATGGGAATGACGTGACTATGATGATGAGCATAGGTTTGCATTTTCAAAATTAAAAGAATGGATGAATTTTATGTGATAGCTAAAAATCGTGCTTCAGTAACGAGCAACAATCTTTCTACAATAACGAGATATCAATAACGAGACTCCCATGCTGCGATCTAACCTTAAGAAACTATTCCAAATGTAAAAGCAAATGCGCTGCAAAATAATTGAGCGCATACCACTGATTATTATTATTTTGTTTTTATTATACACTGGCTGATGGTCACCATGCATGTGTATCTTCTTCCAGTGACCACGTAATTATACTAGTCATAAGAGATGACTGCAAGCTGAGAGCCATCTAAATTTGGCCATTGTTACACGCACTATTGATCAATCCGGAAGCGAGCTACATGAGTTGGTCAATGATTATGGCATCCCATGAGGCCATAGAAGCTACACCCATTGTTACTTACAAGAATGTCCATGAGTATTCGTACTTTCATACATAATAAACTTTAGCAGCTTTCGCACAGAGGCAAGCTTTGCACCGAATGCAGAACAATAATCCCTTGTCCACACCTTTATCTATTCAGGTATAGGAGTATGTCAGCTCCTTCGGGATGCGTGTTCACCTGAGCGCCAGATAGCTGTGAAGAACCTTCCGTTGGGCTGTACTTACCGTTAGTGATCCGATGTGACGCACGCGACAGTTGAGGATGACCGACCCGCCCACGGTGGCTGTCTTGTTGGCCGAGTGGACCAGGTCAAACTCCGGTGCATCCGGCAGCTGGACGGGGGCGGCATCCTCGTCTTCTGCTGCAGACGCCACGTACCCTGCAGAAAGAGGAGACGACGGTCAAAGAAAACGTCACGAGCTCTGCAGAAAGTGGAGGGGACGTATTACAAGAGATGCACTAAACCATATCAACGAAAGGGACGGGACAGACAGGCGTCACAAGCCCTGCAGCCAGGGAGAGGGAAAGGTCAGACAGGGACGCTACAAACCCTATGAGCGGGGAAAGGTCTTACAGGGACGGTCAAAGGAGACGCCACGATTCCCACTTCAGTTCAAGTCGGCCGAACGACTTCAATGCACCTGCAGCGAGAGCAACAGCTGTTCCCCGGACAAGAACAGCATTGTTACATCTAAGTAACGCGCATAAGCAGCATTGATTGTTATAGACACTTGACGCACATCGTCGCTATTGACTGTTGCGTGTCATTTCCTCACTGACGACAAAACACCTTGCTCAGTTAAGCCCCACAATCCAAACCTGCAAGGAATGTTTAACGCCCAGCGCTATCATCTCTAGCAGCATCGATCGATAAGTCCAGTCGTCACAGCTCGACCTTCCTCCCTTCCTTCCCCTCCTCCCTCTCTTCCTCGTTCTCCCTTCCCATTCCGGCGGCTGGCCGGTGTCATGTCAATCGCATCAGCTCGAATGGGCCCGTATCCCGCCCCGGGGAACGAGCCAATGGCAGATTGGAGCTTAGCTGTGGAGGAGACGAGCGAACGGAGCGGGCCGGCGCGTCACCGGCCCGGGCTGCTGAAGCGCCGGCCGCCGCCGCGCCTCACTGCTGCAGGCAAATGAGCAGGGCGCGGACGGACGCGGCCGAGAAAATAAGGCCATTTATCACGTGTTAATGTATGGAGGGATGAATGGGAGCTCCGGTGAAATGTCGCGCGACTCTGGAGACGGCTGCGGGACGCGAGGCACCCGTTGGTATTCGTCGGCACCGCGTTGAGTTATCACCACTGAGAGACTAGAGAGGACACTGGAGTGGGGGAGTGCCTGCAGCAGCTCAACTCGACGGTGATGTGTGAGCAGTGAGCATTGGAACTCCACTGCTGCAGTAACACTGACTGTACTCGACAAGTCAATGACTACGACACCTATCATACATGGATGGTTTTCGAGTATCCAAAATCTTGTTCACTTTTTCAAGTTTTATATCTGACCCGTCACATGGTTCACAAGTTTCGCATTCTACATTATTGCAGGCTCACTGGTAACTGACCATTGCAGAGTTGTGGTTTGTTCCATAGCGCAAACATAAAGCTTATCAATGGTGCCTGAAGCTCCTTCATCGACTGTCTTGAAGACTATATAGCTGTGCGTTAAAAAAAAAATATCAGAGAGATGGGAATTTTAGGAACAGTAAAAACAAACTTCAACATGCTGTAGTGTGCAAGTTAGGATAAAATATTGCTAAGCTCTCTTAGTCATTTTAGAAGTTAAATATCACTTATAAGAAACACAATTTAGGAATTAAGAATGCAACACTGTGCTGTGCAGTAGGATGTTGATATGAGTTTTATTTTTTCACACAATGCATCACGAATAAAGAAGCAATTTAACTTCAATCCCTCGGTCGCAATTAAAGAATAAAATAAATTAGGAAGCAAAGAACGATGATAAACTTAGAAACATTCAGGACCTCAGGACGAGAGATATTCAGGGTTAGGAACCATTGACGCAATTTTATTGTCATTGAGCCAAAACGATGCTCAGCATGCTGTAGCTTAAGTGCGGTCAAGGCAACGAAAGAGCGTCTCACTGACGTCACTAGCCCGTAGTTTGACGCCACATATGTAAGTACCACATCATATGTATATGGTGAAACTCAGAAATTTTGGCTAATGCTTTCTTTAAAAAAGTTAACCCGCGCCCTGATGGGGGGGCCATTTTGGCCCCCCTGTGGTTTTTCTTAAATAGCGAGGAAAACGGCGGCGCGCAGCGCCGCCAAATTTTGGGTACCTTACCGGGCATCAATTTGACACCTTCACACAAAATTTCAAGTCACAGGTCACCTCAGGTCAGGAGTTATTGAGGTCAAACTGAGGTCATGTTCGAGCAAAAATGAGCAAAAAACATGACATCTTGAAACGCTCACCAATTCTACACTTAACAAGCAATTTTAAAGTTCTTTATGTGGCTGTGTAGAGAAAACACGGCGCTACAAAACTGCTATCTCGGATTTTCGAAATTTTGGGATTTTGACCCCAAAAATCAAAAAAATTGATTTTTTTAGAAAAACTCAAAAAAATTCCGAATTTTTTTCGAATTTCGAAAAAAAACGGAATATATGTGATAGTCCCTACGCTCTTCGATATACATACCAAATTTTAGATCGATACCTCTTTTTTTGGCCAAGTTATAGCAAAAAACTGTTAAAAATTGATGACGTCAAATTTTTGAACTCAATTTTAGCAATTCTAGACCTCGTAGCGCAAAACGGAGACCACCATTGAACTCCCCGTGACGAGCTGCATCGAATCGATACCCATTTTATGCAAAAATATCAACTTTGAAATTTGACCTAATTTGACCTGACCTTGACCTGACCTTGACCTGACCTTGACCAAAACGTGACCTAAGCTGGCCCTAAAGTCTGTCTGACCCACATCATCGCCTTTGTCATGTAAAATGGACCATAAAACATGTATCACACGACACTTTCATATTGTGACCCCCCCAGTGACCTGACCTCTGTGACCTGACCTGGTATCAATGACCTCAAATAGCAAAATATGTGTTTGAAGAACATTTCTCCACCGATGATTTTCAATGAAATGCATTTTACTCGATTTTACAACGCATTTCTTGAAATGCCTGTAAACGTTGAAAATTCGACCTTTGACCTGACCTGTGACGTCATCGGTTTGACCGAGGTCAATGAAATTGGGTCACAAGGTAGTTCCCCGTTGGGGCTATCCAACACCGTTTACCGCTTGTCGCTATGTTGCGTGGTTCTCGAGATCTGAGGGGGGGCCAAAATGGCCCCCCCCCCCCATCAGACCGCGTTGCTCGGCAGACCCCATCTGGGCGCGGGTTAATATGAGTAAATTTTCATGAAGCCGAAGCTATGCTAGACTTAGCAAATATTTAGTGATGCTAGCCATTAAGCAAATACTTTGTATTGGCCTAGTGACTGATAATTTAGGGCCATTCGAAGGTCCTTTGGCACTTAGCATTTTTTACTTGCTTTGAGAAATGCGTGAAGCGAAGCGGACCCCACATGTCAAAGTGCCTCGTTTTCAGGTGAGCAATGGTTGGAAACTCGGACGGTTTAGCTTATTTAACGCCCTCGCCGCCGCAATTCAGCGTGTTATTACAGCGGTACGTCCATCGCAAATCAAAGCAGGGCGATATTGGCACAAAACACGTCATGAAAGTTCCGCTTCTTTCTTTGTATTATTTGTTTAGCCGCTCCAAGGCTGATATAGGGAACGCCGAACGAACACACGATATGAAGCTCTCACTAACGCAATAGATGAGAGGTTCCTAACTTCACACTTCGAACAAAGTAATGGAAACTGCAAGGCAAGCATGCTGTTGCCTATGAGGAATTTGGATGTCTTTGTGTGACAGTTGTGTTTATTGTCTTTGTTCCTTTTTCATAGTCATTGATTCGTATAAGGAATATTTTGCTTCCAACGCAGCAAAAAACCTCGGGAAAACAGCTCGGATGTCCTCTAAAAGATGGATGAAAAGCTCACTTTGGGTGCTGCATAAAACGTTAAATCAAATTATGGTAACCTAATTTCTGAGCAAGGAAGCTTTTCAGCACATTAACTACGGTCCTTATTTCGTCTCCGTGGCGCTAAGCCGCTCTCACGTGGAGCGGTGTCTCCTTAGCTGCTTTTCGGCTGCCGTCGGCGGCCTAGCCGTATTTCATTTCCGACGAGAAACGCGCCCGAAATGGGATTTCAATGGAGCCATGATTTGCGGGCCTGAGAATGGCCGGGGACGTGCCACCGGTGGCTCGAACCGGCCGAACCTGCAGCTCCCGCAGAATTGTCGCCCGAGAAAGCGAACACTGCATGCATCTGTGTACGCATGTTGATATGTTGTAAAGATGCGTGACAAAATAAACCTTGTTATTGAATCCCTATTATTGAATCATTTTTACTGGGACTCATCTGCATCGCTTCATGGTTCCAAGACTGGTTAACATCACAAACATATGCATGATTATTTGAATATAACCATGCATTTTGATTCTGCTTTCAAATCAGTACGCATTAACTATCTCAAAAAGGAGTATATAATATGTGCAAATGTTGTAGCATATAAGTGGCAAAGCATGCGTCACATCGCACGAATTTTCCTCGTAAACCACTCAGGCTGGGCCTAAAATGCGTTCGCTGGACGCTGACACAGTGATTTCCCTGACAAATCGCTTGCTCACGTCCTCCAAATTAACAAAAGGCTTATGAGCTCTGAGCTGACAAAGCCTAATAACTTTTCACCGGTACATCATTCATCCTAAGGTTAAAATAAGTTTCAGTTTTGCGGCTTGGAAAGTGAAACCAGACCGCAGCAAAATTACACATTTGTCTTGAAATTTAACCCTAGAACGCCTAGGGGGGGTTGTATCAACCCCCCCCCCTGAGGTTTTTTCGAAGTGCACGCTAAACGGCTTGTCGTAGCGGGCTGAAATTTTCAATACCCTCTGGGGCAACCTTTGCGCATCTTTTGCCGAAAAAAAAATGATCGGGTCATGTCAGGTCACGGAGTTATGACGTCATAAGAGGTACAGCCTCCGGCCGACAGTTACCAAACGTGTGCGCCGAATCCCTAGGTTTTCTGCCGGTGATACCCACATTGTTAGGTGGATCATGATGAAACTTCCCATGCATGTTGGGGCAAGCATTGGCTATCGTGTGGTGCAAGAAAATTGACCGGGTCAGGTCAGGTCACGGAGTTATGACGTCATAAGAGGTACAGCCTCCGGCCGGATTTTCACGAAGTGTGTACCGAGTCCCGAGGTTTTCTGCTGATGCTATGTGATACATCGTTTGCTGTGAATTGATTGTTGGAAGTTGGAAA